GCTCATGGCTTGAAGACCTCATAGTAGTGCCTACATTGACTGTCGATTGACTGTCAATATTAACGATCAAATAAAAGTAAAAGCAAAAGGCATTTGAACAATATCCACCTTTTTAAAGTCGTCTCATACAAAAGCATTGCTAAACTATTCACGAAATTTTGTACGATGTCGTATTGGAACAATGTTTGAATAATGACTTGTTTAACGAGGAATGCCTGCATGTACAAGTTTACATTAAGAAGTCAATAAAAATGCAGTCCAATATCCAATATCCAAAATTATAGAAATATATACTGTATACCACATATAATACCAATAATAATATGATATATCATTGTGTAAAAATTCTTAAAAAATTCTTAAACGAGAGTAAAATATTTCATAATCTCCTACTGTCCAATGTTATATATCAATTAGTTTCAGTAATTCTATTGCACATTTTTATAACTAACATTTGCAGTTAAAGTAAACGCAAGAAAAACTCGCAAGGCTATGCCAGGGTTAATTTACAAAACATTTCATACTATTTTATAAATATTAAGAATTTGACTCAGATTTCTTTCTCAAACTCACTCTCGCTCTTTTAATGTCTCTTACTCTCACACTGTAAAGCTCTCGAAATTTTTACTCATTCTTCATTTAAAATTAATGAGTGCACTCTCTTGATACTTTAATGTTGTTTGGATATATTTTCTATCATATCTTTTAATAGAAAAACCGGTTTCTGTAATGTTTGTTTACATTGCTTTGGCGTGCAAATGCAATGATAACAAAACAAGAAATTGCAATTTGTTTCACGGTTTTTCACAATTGTTTAATGTAGTTTCCGTTGAAGAATAAATAGAAAGATTATAAAAATTTTATGTATTCTTAAGGATTTTTGCAAAAATATTTATTTGGACAACTTGGTTAGATATTTAATATTAAAAAAAAAAAAAAAATTATTAAGGGAACGATATCTGTTCATATAATTTCCTTCATGGTGAACTCTTTCCAGAATAATGCGTTCAATTTGTGCTTCTAAGCAGTTTTCGCGACCGCAATTGCAACTGCAAGTGGCGAGAAAACGCTGAAAATAGTTAGATCTGCTCAGAATATTGGAAAATATAGATTCAGAAAATGATTCTGAAAATCGTTCTGGATCTAGATATATTTGATATAGATGTTGACTCTAATAATCATCCGATAGCATATTTACTACTTATTAATTTCTTCTCTCCTTGTATATATTCGATTATTCCGTCTAATCTGTCCTTGTTGCAATAACAAAACTCTAATTTCTGGTGGTTCCTCGTAAAGTTGCTGGGGAGTTTTTCGGGCTTCAAACCCTTCATATATGGCTATTTAATGATATATGGGTAGAAAATAAATTTGAACAGTTAGAATACCAGATGCTATAAAAAGCACTCTCGAAACATTCTGCGGATTATTTCATGATAAGGTCCTTATTATGTATTCTGTGTGATTGAAAATATCTTCCTCTTTACACTTTTCAGTCAGTTTAACGATTTCCTTTCACTCAATTGGTAACAATAATTTCATACCATTACAAAAATCATTACCTTTGCATTACAAAAAACTTGCAAAACTATTAAAATAGTATTAAGTTTTTCTTAGCCTTTCCTTACACATATTTTGGCAGGAGCACAAATAACACATTATTAACTTTATTTATCTATGTTGTGAACAAGTTTTCTGAACCAGTTCTAAAAAAGACTATTATTAAATAATCAACTCTAACCATTTTACTCTAGTTTAAATGAGTTTAATGGCATCAAAACATAAAAAACATAAAACAAATTTTATTAAAAAGAATAAACAAAAAAAAAAAAAAGAGTTGAGTGAATGCTTTAAAACCAAAGAAAACGAACACTCTTTTGGATTGTAAAGAGAAAGTGAATGAAAGAGAAGATACGAGAGAACCGCAGATTCTTTCTCTGTACAATAATTATGTGAAAAAGGCTTAAGCGCACCAATTTTGTGCTCATTATGAATATGAATGAATTGCAAGTTGTTGCTGTTTACCGCTTTTCTTACATAAAGGCATAAATGTAAGTCAAATAAATGGCTAACACAAAGCCTTGCAATGCTTTGAAAAAATCATGCAACAGAAAAATCGTAACAGAAAATATTTAATAAGCCAACACAATAACAATTGTAGTTTTTTATAAGCGAAAAGAAATCATATATGCTTAACTATAAGGTCTTTTAGAAGGATATACGCGTATACCTTGCTTATCAATTTTTTACAATCAAAATTTTTTGCAATTTATAACATACCAGGTAAATTTTCTACAATAGGTGATTAAGTACATTGGTTAAGTGTAACTTGAACAAGTGTTCAGACCGACTGTTATTGCCTATGCCATTTGTGGTACAAAGGTACAATGAGTTCGTGCGGAGTTATGCTTAAGATAGACACACCTTCTATTATACTAATCGATTCAGAATAACTTTATAATCTAAGCTTGTCTCTCCTTCTGTCCGGCTTGTGCTCTCGTCTACAAATTACAGGTCGCGATATTTCAGATACTTTAAGAAAATTTGGTTGACCGATATGTTTTGGTCCAAGGACAAACGCTACTGAAAATGCTTCGGATCGGTCCAAAATATGGACCGATCCGAACGATGTAACGCTTTATTTTGAAAATCCGTTGTATAACGAACTGTAGGGTCATGTAGAATATGCAATGGTTACCGTCACCCCTCTAGTCTTTTTAATTATTCTTAAATAATTATCGAAGCGTTTGAATTAAATATGTACTTTTAATTCTATGTACGTGCGACATTCATGTATTTTCGAACTTGGCAGAGATTAACGAAAAGTGTGGAAGAAAAATAGAACATCAACTTATTGAACACTCTGTGTATTCAAATTCCATTGCTTTATATTATTTTCTTGTTTCTTCAATTACGACTCGTTCCAACATTACTTTGGAAATATGAATACTAAGGTATACTAGTCATGAAAATATTGTCACTTGAATATCAAATTTCTATTTTCAGCACGACAACGAACTAAATCAATTTTTGACCCCTCTTCAGTTGACTGCTTAGTATCATACGTATATGAAGCTAGCGTTATTCTTAACAAATCAGTTTTTTGTTTGAATATGCGTTTAACAAGCACATATTCATCGAATATATATATTCGAAGGCATCCATAACTGTATTGTATCCTCTGTACAAATTAAAAGAAAACCTAACGTTAAATTCGAACAATTTTTCATTACGTACGCATTGAATTTGATTTAAATATAGAAATAAGTAAAAGAAGAACAACACATTTCAAGTGGTTCTGATTGTTGCTCTACAAACATTAAACATATTTTAAAAGGTAGCGTGAAAATTTGATTTATAAAAATACAAATGTATTTGGTTTCGTAAAAAATATTAAGCCTTCAAAAATTTGGAGAAAGGAAAAAGCAAATCCTATCTTTCACGCTAGAACATTCGGACTAACTTTGCTTATCTGATCTAATTCTATCCTTAAGGTCAATATTTTTTGGCTAATCTAACGAACAAATCGCCACAATGTGCTCTATGAACTTGATTATAATTACTATATAGTATGTACATAAGTAAATTGAAAAAAGAGTGAACTTCTGGTAAATATCCATCAGCATTAGATTTTCAAAGGTTCTCTTAAAGACTCAATGATTAGAGTGAAAATAAATCTCTGTATATAATTTTCAATTCTCTTTTGAGCAAAGAGAGAGATGAGAACTATAAAAAGTGTAGTGAGAGGAATTTCAATCATTTAAGCGCCACTTTACCCACAAACGTTGGAAATTGTAAACAAATTTGAGAGAAGAGTCCTACGGAGTCACTCAAGGATAAGCAATAATCATGAAATAGTTCCGGCAAATACCGTTGACAGCGCCTCTAACCAGACATAGAAGTTAGCATAGAATTCATATGCGTAACAATAAGTTAAGATAATTAATTTTATACTTATGGACGTGACTTCACAATTATTATGTTTTTTTCCTTATAACTTAAACGCTTCAAGAAACTATATATTTATTCATTCCATTCTATTACGCAAAACACTCATATCTGACTCGAAAAAGAATCTCGCTCTCTATCTTTTATGTTTTTCCACTGGTTTGCTTCTTTTTTATTTTTTTGCCTTACATTGCTCTCGTTTGTTTACTAAACTCTAGACGATTGAGAAAAGCATAATAATTGCACGAAGTGTAACATAACTATAACGCACAGCCAATACATAGACATCATCATCATAGTGTACCTTAGTGTAAAAATTTTCCAAAAATTTTAGTTAGAGTCCGAGCATCAAACATAATGGACGTGTGTAGTCGCGCGCTCGTTTCTACATATATTGTTCTACTAAATGAATATTAAAACGATTTTATTCTTTCACATGTAAAAAGTCACTGTGTGCAACCAACAGTAAATAAAGAAAAAGAAGAAAAAAGAAAATTCATTTTCCCCCTTAGCTTTCATTGAAATAACCATAAGCCAATAACATCGGCAGCAACTATAAGAACAACAAAATGTACCACTAATACAAGTGTGCTGCGTGAAAAGTGAAAGAAGAGTGTTAACAGCATATAAACCAAAAAAAAAATAAAAAATAAAAAAATTAAAATAAAAAAATAAAAAAGAAAAGTTGCAATAAACGATTCGAGTTTGTATGGAAAGAAAGAAAAACGATTTTTATACCTTTAGTAAGGTGATAAGGAAAAAGAAATTTGTTTTTAAATCTAAGAAAAAAGAAAAACGAAAAGAAAAGTTTCAAAAGTATATATAAGAGGAATTTTTGTGAGAAACGTACAGAGAAAAAAAAATGCTATTTATTAAATAAATCGCCTAATAATGTGCGTAGAGAAGCAAAACGCGAGACTAAACTAGCAATGTAAAGTTGCTGTTTGTTAGTGAAGCAAAGAATATTTAAATTGATTGCTTATCCCCTACGCACACATAATATACATATATATACACATATATATATATATATATGTATATATATTTATATATATAAAACCAACAACAACAAAAAGTCAACAATACATTTCCTTTCATAAAATTTTTAAATAATAAATAACATAACTACGATACACGATCTACACCATGTGTAGAAACGCTGCCAGCAAATTGCAACATTCATTGCTATACCCCCATCACCATCACCTTCAGTATCAACAACAGCAACATTATTATTTAACAGTATTGAGTATTGCTTTCATATTTGCCTTACAATTGGGTTATCATGCGGTTGTGGCGGCCACTATGACCACCACTACTAGCCTAGTACAAGTAGCCGCTTTAGCAACTGCAGTAACAACAGCCACTTCCGTTGTAGCAACTGCAGCCTCCACCGCCACTGTAATCACCAATTCCAATCAATGTTCCTGGCAATACAATGGCACCACTTCGGTGCGTTGCAATATACGTCTTATAGAACGTATTCTTAGTTTGGATTTACAAGGTGCCGATGGCGCTAGTCAACTGGAGATAAAATGCAGTGATTTGTATTTATTTGAATCGCAGCTACCGCAAGCTGCCTTCGCCCGCTTACAAACATTAGATGAGCTTAAGTTAGTTTCTTGTAAACTACTGCAATTGCCCAACAATGCCTTTGAGGGTTTGAGTACTGTGAAAACGTTAACTGTCAACACTCACAACTCGGAATGGGGCCCTAGCAAAACATTAGAGCTATTCCCTGATTCATTGATCGGTCTTAAACAGCTAACCGAATTAGACTTATCGGATAATAATTTGCGAGCCATACCGCCTGGATTTCTTTGTCCTGTAGGTAATTTGCAAGCACTAAATTTAACGCGTAATCGTATTCGCGCTGCAGAGAATTTAGGCTTTGCTGATATGAATTGCAATGGTGGTAGTGAGTTACAAATCTTAGACGCCAGTCATAATGAATTGCGTGCTATCGCAGAGTCATGGGGTATATCGCGTTTACGTAGGCTCCAACATCTGAATTTGCAGCACAATAACATCTCGGAGTTGTCCGGCGAAGCTTTGGCCGGCCTCTCGTCACTGCGTATTGTTAATTTAAGCAACAACCATTTGGAAACTTTGCCAGAAGGTTTATTTGCTGGCTCTAAAGAATTACGTGAGATTCATTTGAAAAATAATGAGCTTTACGAGTTGCCCAGGGGTTTGTTTCATCGTTTGGAGCAGCTTTTGGTCGTGGATCTCTCAGCGAATCAATTAACCTCCAATCATATTGACAACACTACTTTTGCCGGTTTAATAAGACTGATTGAGTTAAATTTGGCTCACAACGCTTTAACGCGCATTGATTACAGAACTTTTAAAGAGCTTTATTTCTTGCAAAATCTCAACTTACGTAACAATTCAATTGGCCATATCGAGGAGAATGCATTCCTACCTCTTTACAACTTGCACACGTTAAATTTGGCCGAAAATCGTTTACACACTCTCGATGATAAATTATTTAATGGATTGTACGTCTTGTCAAAGTTGACATTAAACAATAATCTCATTAGTGTCATCGAAGCGAATGTTTTCAAGAATTGTTCCGATCTTAAGGAGCTGGATTTGAGTTCGAATCAATTAAACGAGGTACCTCGAGCTTTACAAGACTTGGCAATGTTGCGTACTTTGGATTTGGGCGAAAATCAAATACGAACCTTCGACAATGACAGCTTTAAAAATTTACATCAATTAACCGGCTTACGTTTAATTGATAACCAAATTGGTAACATTACCGTAGGAATGTTCGCTGATTTGCCACGCCTCAGTGTCTTGAATTTGGCCAAAAATCGCATTCAAAGCATCGAGCGTGGTTCGTTTGATAAAAATTATGAACTGGAAGCTATTCGCTTAGATCGTAATTTTTTATCGGACATTAATGGAGTCTTTGCAACGCTGATGTCTTTGCTGTGGTTGAATTTATCAGAAAATCATCTTGTTTGGTTTGATTATGCCTTCATTCCATCGAATCTGAAATGGTTGGATATACATGGCAATTACATTGAAGCTTTGGGTAATTACTATAAACTTCAAGAAGAGATTCGCGTGAAAACCTTAGACGCCAGCCATAATCGTATTACTGAGATTGGTCCCATGTCCATTCCCAATACAATTGAATTGTTGTTTATTAATAATAATTTAATTAATGCCGTGCATCCGAACTCGTTTGTGGATAAAGTGAATTTAGCTCGTGTAGATTTATATGCGAATGCTATGACAAAATTACAATTGCAGCAATTACGTATTGTGCCTGTGCCACCCACCAAACCGTTGCCTGAATTTTATTTAGGTGGAAATCCATTTGAGTGCGATTGTACTATGGATTGGTTGCAACGCATTAATAATTTAACAACGCGTCAGCATCCACGTGTTATGGATTTGCCCAATATTGAATGTGTAATGCCGCATGCCCGTGGAGCTCCGGTGCGTACATTGACATTGTTGAAACCACAGGATTTCCTGTGTCGGTACGATTCGCATTGTTTTGCTTTGTGCCATTGTTGTGATTTTGATGCGTGCGACTGCGAGATGACTTGCCCCAATAATTGTACATGTTATCATGACCAGATTTGGTCTACGAATGTTGTCGATTGTGGTGGCCAGCAAACCACGGAATTGCCACGCCGCGTACCAATGGACTCCAGTGTTGTGTACTTGGATGGCAACAACTTTCCAGTGTTGAAAAATCATGCATTCATCGGCCGCAAAAACCTCAAATCACTTTTTGTGAATGGCAGTCAAGTGGCCAGCATACAAAACCGCACTTTTGCTGGCCTTATCTCGTTGCAGGTGCTACACTTGGAAGACAACGTCATGAAATCGTTGCAAGGTTATGAGTTTGAGCATTTGTCTGCTTTAAAAGAACTGTATTTGCACAACAACCTGTTGACAGTTGTAGAAAATACAACATTGGCTCCTTTAGTTTCATTGGAAGTGCTAAGACTTGATGGCAATCGCTTAGTGACATTACCCGTCTGGCAATTGCAGCTGCCGCAATTTAAGCAGCTACGCACCGTTTCTCTAGGGCGTAATCATTGGAGTTGTCGCTGCAAGTTTTTGCAAGAATTGACCTCGTATGTTGCTGACAACGCTCTAATAGTGCAAGACTCTCAGGATATATATTGCATGGATGATTCATCGCCATCAAGTGGCGTAAATGGTGGTAGCACTAGCGGAGGCGGTGGTGGCGGTGGCGATGGTGATGGTGATGGAGATCGTAGTGGTTTAGCAAGAAAACGTGAACTGGATTTTAATGCTACAGCAGCGTGCAGCGATTATTATGCAGGCGGTTCTATGCTGCAACACGGCATACCAAAAACATACATTCCCTTGTTGGCTGCCGCCTTAGCATTAGTATTCTTGCTTATTGTTGTCATCATCATATTCGTGTTTCGTGAATCGTTACGAATTTGGCTCTTTGCCCATTATGGTGTGCGTGTCTTTGGGCCACGCTGTGAAGAGTCTGAGAAACTTTATGATGCTGTTTTGTTGCATTCGCCTAAAGACTCCGAATATGTCGGTCAATATTTGGTTGCTGAATTAGAAACTGGACGGCCACCATTACGCATTTGCCTGCAACATAGAGATTTAGCTCACGATGCCACACATTATCAAATATTAGAAGCATCTCGAGTATCCAGACGCATTGTTATACTACTGACAAGAAATTTCCTACAAACGGAATGGTCGCGATGCGATCTACGGCGAGCTGTGCACGATGCATTACGTGGCCGTCCTCACAAGTTGGTTGTTGTTGAAGAAGCAGAAGCTCTCTTTGAGGCTGAAAATGATATTGAGTTATTGCCTTATTTAAAGACCTCAGCTGTGCACCGGATTAGAAGAAATGATCGTCATTTTTGGGAAAAATTGCGATATGCTTTGCCAGTGGATTATCGTAGTGGTAATAATTATACTTTGGATCATAATCATGAACGTATTAAGCAGCCAGCTAGTCCAGGCATATTGTATAGGCCAGCACCGCCACCGGCCTATTGCCCAGAAGGGGAAGGTGAGCAAAATTATTCTTCAGCTACTACAGCAACGCCTTCACCTCGACCACAACGTCGAATAGAGCCCGTTGGTAACGGTTTGCATCATACCATTACACAAACAGCAGGTATACATTTACATCCTAATGCTGCTGCTCAAGCCCAAGTTGCACCCCAGTATTATCATCACGCTGGAGCGGGGTATACGCATCGCCCCCCCTCCGAGCATATATATTCCAGCATCGATTCCGATTATTCGACGTTGGATAATGAGCAAATGCTGATGATGCCATCGGCTCCACCTTCACCATCATTGCATCAGGCAGGTATGAATAGCCTGCATCGCAGTGTACATTCACAACAACAACAGCAGCAGCAGCAACAGCAACAACAACAGCAACATCCAAATATATCACAAACTTGGCGGGCGCAACAAAATCAAAAACAACGTGATCATCACGCAGTAACCGCTAATGTCACTGCACAGCATCAACAACAGCCAGTGATGACAACAACTGCAGTGACCTCTACATCTTCCACTAGTAACAACACTATTACACCTGGGCAACAACAAGGACCACACGTTCAGGCATATTTAGTATAAAATTTCACTAAATCTCAAAAAGTCTTTTGCTCCTTAAATTAAGCCGAGTCTTTTGGAAATTAAACGAGAAAAACAAACAAAAAGGAAAAGAAAGAAAAAACAAAATTAAGAGAAATCATTTGATTATAGTGCAAAACGATGCAAAGATAACTCGAAACAAATTAATCTTTAACCACTAACACAAAGAGAGAATGTACAAAAACACAGATACACTTACAAAGATATATACAGACATAACTATAATGCTTTGATGACTGAGTTGATAACATAGAGTGAATGTTGGGTTAAAAAACAACACACAAAAAAAAAAAAAGAAACAAACAACAACAACAACAGTAATAAGATAAAATAAAAGGACTGGTTCCTGTTTTAATAGATTAGGAAAGTCTAAAACGATAAAACTATGTTGTTTAGAGACGCTGTGCTAGATCAAAAAATCAGTTTATGTGAGTAATCATGGCCGCTAAAGGAAACTTAGAGTAAAAAAAAAAAAAGAAAGAAAAAAAAAGAACACATCTTGTTTTCTCTAACGTTAAAGTCATACTTACCTAAAGATGTTTTATTTTTTTTGTTCTTCCTCAAACGGCTCGTAAACAATCGCCTTTTTCTACAGTGAATGTGTGAAGTGAGAAAAAATTTTTTATTTATAAGTTCTTTACATACTCCTTTTCTTCTCTCGTCTGTGGCTATGTAATGTGGTAATGACTTGAAAGATTGAAGCAGATTAGCTTACGTTTTTGGCAACGCTTAGTGTTTTACTAATAGCATTGCAGTTCCTTTCAGGGGCTAGTTTTTGTTATTGAGACTAATCGACAAATTTTATTGCGACTTGTAAATCTTCTTCTTCTTTGAAATCGAATTAATGTTAGAGGATAATAAATCTTAATCGTAGTATGGTTCGTTGATAGTAAAAATTTTGTGTTAATTTTAACTACTCTAATTGAAGTAATTTCCCCTACTTGGCCTTGAATTTCATTTCAATTATATTGTAGGTGAGAACCCCAAAGGAAGATGGTAGAAACTGAGTAAAGAAAGAAATTGGCTTCTCAAAGGTTACGAGAACTTTGCCAAATGATTTGAACTCGAAACCCATTTATCGGTTTTGAAGTGCTGTTCGGAATGATTACGGGCGAAGGTCTTTTGCGCTTAAAACCAAACACCAAATAAAAATATACGAACGTGTGTGTGTCTTACAGTAAAATTGGTATTGAAGAGTTTTGTTATGGGAGATAGTATATTGCTTTTGATATCCCACATTTAATAAAAAATCATTACAACTATGTTAACAACACAACATTGATTCGTTGTAAATTGTGAACTTTTTCTGCTGGGATATCACTTTGAAATATGCAGCGATTTTCATGGACGTAAAACTTTTGGTAAGCAGCGTCGAAACGGGAATTTTTTTGTAAATTTTCCAAAAAAAATTTCGATTACTTCGCACACAAATCCCTACATGACATGTCGTTGTCAATTAGCTAGTGGTGTGATTTTCAGTATAAAAATTGCAAATATAATGAAATCGAGAACGATATTATAATTCTTCAGTTACTCTTCCACAACTATTTGATATGTTTCGGCTGCATCTTCCTTTAAAGTTAACACAAAATTTAACATATTTAAAACAGTAAGGAACAAGGTTTTTGTATGAAACCCTAGCTGGCAGACATCTACCCTCTTTGAAATCACCGAAATCAGCTATGAAGCGTAACATAACCGCTAAAACAGTCGTTTGAAAATGGACCGAACTAATTTGTGCCTCCAAAACGTAAACAACTAAAAGTATTGTACTACACTGCGGTTTAAAGCTAACTTCCGTAGTTCACTTTGCTTAACACATTTATTTATTCATATAACGTCTTTCCAAAAGAAGGTTTTACGTAGGAAATGGTGGAAAAAGTAGTCCAATCAGAACATTATTTAATAATGTATGTAAGCTGACGAACGGACGGACTATTAGACAGAGAGACGGGCTTAATATTTATTACTGACTTTTTATCGATACTGCTGTTGCAGTGCAGGCCCATCAAAGCTAGTTTCAAACATTTCAAACCGTTAAATAAGAGCAAAGATGCGAAGCGTCAGGTTATGGATTTTGTGAAGTTCTAATTTTCAGTAATAGGCGACGGGGATAATCGAAACCTTCAAAATCTCGTCCTGATCGCAAATAAATATTTCAAGTAATCTTGTCCGTACATATTTTCTAACCTTAGTGACTAAGTACTTAAATTATGTTGATGCACATATGTTTTATGCAGTAGACATCCACGATAAGCCGTGCAGCCTGTAAACCTTTTTCCATTTATTGTTGTTATTATTATTTTTTTTCTGTCATTATCAGCATTCGCAAGTAGAGAAGGCGAATAGTTTACATGTTTATATATACTATGTGTGGTCTGCCAAGTAGACAAAATTGCGTACAGCTGTAGAACATATTAATAATTCAAATCTAATTAAAAATCCAGTGTCTAAAAAAGATTAGGTTAAAATTTGTAATAAAAAAAATAATAACAATTCTCGTCGATATTTGTAAAATAGAAAAAAAAAAAAACCTCAAAAATGAAATTTTTCGTTGTCCTTACATTGTATATAAAAGGGGTTTTGATGTGAGTTGATATTTCAATGTCACAACTCTTCTCATTTTGAGGATTGATAACATGTGACGAAAAGTTTGCGTGTGATAGATAACATACGACGTTGCCGCATAGGACTACTCGCGTAGTAACGTATTAAAATTGTAGTTAATTTAGTGACACCTTAAGAGTATTGTAATACAAAGTCCAGCTACTTTAATATACATATGTACATATAAACCTTTAAAAGTGTAATGAAGAAAAGGGCGAATGCATGCAAAAGTTGTATATGTGCTGTGGTTATCAATCCACACTTTCCTTTGTTTGTTTGTGTATGTACATCCTTCAATAAACATAGACTATAGAGAAAAGATAAAGAAAGCAAAAAAAAAAAAAAAAGAAAAAAAACAAATTTATAAATAGACACGTACAAGACAGCAATAAAGCAACACTATAAGTTTATATATATATATATATATATATATATATATATATATATATATACTTTTAACTATGTAAATATTATATTAAATATAATTCATAATTAAAACTAAGTTATAAATACAATAAGCAAGAGAAGAAGCAAAAAGATGATATTTTACACCATACAAACAACACTGCTACTACTACAAATGTACACTGCCTCAGATTGTTTACATGCAAAATAATGTATTTATTTACATATTTATACATATTATACAAATTCTTATTATTGTACACTTACCGCACATACAATATAGAACACGACCATCACCATCGCCACCACCACCACAATTACTAATACTACCACCACACTGTTGCCTACAACAACCCCAAGAACACGATAAAAAAAAATTAATTAATTATAAAAGGCGAAGCAAAAAACATAAAAGAAAACGAAAAAAAAAAAAACAAAATGAATAAATTGTGTTTACCTCATTCGGTATGTATACAAAACAGAAGCGAAAAAAATTCTTTCCCTTTTTTTTTTAAGCATTTCCTTTAAACTAGAAGGGAAAAAATGTAAAAACAAAAATAAAAAAAAACATAACATTCGGATAAAATCGAACGTTTTGATACCCATCACCTGCAGGTTTTTGCTGATATTTTTGAGAAATTATTTTATCAAAGCTGTGGAAACGCAAGTGCATCCTTCCAAAACCGAAACGTAACATTTATGAAAGCATCGCTTACGCTCACAAATACGGTAGCACTTTAGCTTCAACTCCGACGTAAGATATTCAAACCTGAAGGTATACATCATTTGCTAAATTTAAGAAACAGCCATAAAGTAGCTTCCGACGGAAGGCACAAGATCGCTCTTACTCGAGAAATAACGTATAAGGGTTTTCATTAACTTTATTATTTTCAATAAGAAAATTCTTTTGGTCGCTTACATTTGCTACACTTTCTCGTTGAGGCGGGGATATGCGACTTTTCCCGTCTTAACAAAAAATGGTCGATCAGCAGTAATTTGTTGCTTCGCCTTGCTTGTTACAGTCTGCAGAATTATTTGCCCAATTTTTGCGTTGCAATTTTATTATTGACGAAACGCTTGACATAAAGCTGGAGGCCCTGCTGGGTGTGGTATTGACATGAAAAAGTTACAGTACGCTTGCTGACAGTTCGTTAGTTGACGAGGGCCATGGCCCGCCATTAAATACTCTGCATCAGCTCCACTAGTCCATTTATTCATGTAACGAGTTTTCAAAATAAGAGTTATACGGGAAGTGGCTGAAAAAGTGCTCCGGTCAAAATGAATTTCAATAGCATTCCTTCTTGCACCTTGCGGTGCACCAAATTATACACTAGAATACAAAGCGGACAGACAGACGGACAAAAATTGATCTGAGTGTGTGAGATATAGCAAAAGGCGAATATCTCAATTCCTTCGGGGTGTTGTTATACATCCCGGTAGTGGCGCAAAGTAGCGCCGAGTATAAGAAGTAACGAGAAAACATAAAAAGGGCCGCTATGTGAAAATTTCAAGTCGGCGCCGAAAGATTTAGGCAACTTGCTTGTCAGCGTTAGGGTCTCACATGATGCGTTTGCAGCATGAAAAAAACACCTGATTGTGCCCCATTTGGGCGGTGAAGGCACACCTTCTCCCATTGTCTGTTAAACCATAATTTCGTTGTCTTGAAAATGAAGTTCGGAAAGTTTAATAGCAATCCCTTCAGACATTTTTTCAGGAACACTTGTACGCCATTCATATTTGTTGGACTGTCATCCAGCATTAGTTTGGAAAAATTACCAAAAACCTATTCAGTCACTTTCGACTAGAATTCGACTAGAGCGCTCAGGGCGTTTTCTTTTCGATCATCGCGACCTTATGAAGCATTCGTCTACAGAAAAGTTTTGCTGTGCATTTTACCTACCTTTAAGGGTCAACCATGCCCTATGAATTGTTATCGTTACCTGTGGTAGTTCGCTTTAAGCTATCGGCAAATGCGATACATGCGCCTCTCCTGAGTTCATTAGCAATTCACACACTTTCACACTTCAAGCCGATCTGTTAAAATTAATTCATACGTCAATTAAAATATGTTTTCGTACCTGGGTATATCCGCAGACTTAGTTAATTAATTGCTCATAGACAGATGAACTTCCATACGACAAAATCGTTTTCGGTGCGCATACTTACCGCGAAATATAATTTAAAACTTCTCTCGTTTTCATTTCCGTCTATGAAAAATATTTGTTATGTTTATTAGGCAAGTCGTGGTGGGTATAAAAGAAACCGTAAAATATATAAATCACT